TTCATCACTTTCCATCTATCCATTTTCTTCCGCTTCATCCATTTCTGGGTCGCATAATTTTATCACTTTATGTTATATAAATGAATATAAACAGGATCAGGTTTTCACATGTCGGTGGTGCCACAAAAATTAATAGGACTACGTCATTTCTATCTCGATGTCATTTCTTTGCTCGGAATCTCCATGGAAACAAGCAGGTTCTGGTTGCTTCCAAGATATATTTGTGCGATGAAATGAGTGTAGTTAGAGCCAGGGACAGTCAGACACAGGCAGAGGCCCAGAGCGGGTGTCGTCTGAGCAGAAGGTTGACAGTTTGAATCCTGCGCCCGACATAAACATCTTTGGCTGAGTGGTCAGATGTACTGACCCACTGGTTGGCAAGTGTGAAAGCAGCTCCCATTGATCAGTGCTTTGAGTGCCTTGAAAAGGTAGAAAAGTACTATATAAAGTCATTTTCAGCCCGCCTGAGCCTCATGCTGCTAATATGTTCAGTTGTTTCATCCTCACTGAATATTTGAACCCAGAGCAAATCACTCACTACCTCAATATGAACTAGAGTGTATTTAGATTTATCTCCAGATTTCTTGCTCAAGACAAGTATCCTGTTTTCTATGAGCTAAAGGTGGAGATGTTATTTTATGGTTACAATGATATGGTTATGCTATGTTTAATATTCCATTATCTTTGCTCTATAACTTATTCTGCAACACTGAAACTTTCCCATAGTGGGATCAATCATCAATCAACGTTTATTTGTAGAGCGCCTCGCCTCACATCCCATATCACATCATGCATAAATCAAACACATTAAGAGCCCAAGATATATTAAAAACACTAAAAATAAAATCACACAAGTTAAAAACTTTATAACATTCAAATCACTGATGGGATTAAAATCATAAATAGTCACAGTGCATTAAAAAGATTAAAGATAAAAACAAAGATAAAAAGATAAAATAATTCAGTTGTATGCACAGCTAAACAGAACTGTTTTCAGCCTAGAGTAGACACCTGTCTCACATTCTCAGGAAGACGGTTCCAGACTCTAGCAGCATAAATCTGAAATGCAGTTTCCCCATGTCTAGTACCGACTCTTGGCACCAGCAGGAGTCCAGTCCCTGTGCTCCTCAGAGTCCGGGTCGGTTCATATGGCACAAATATGTCGCGGATGTACCTCGGTGCAAGGCCATGGAGAGACTTGTACACAAGTAAAGCTGCTTTGAAGTCTATTCTCTGAGCCACAGGAAGCCAGTGCAGAGACCTGAGGACTGGACTAATATGGTCGTACTTCCTGGTTCTAGTCAGGACTCGAGCTGCTGCATTTTGAATGTACTGCAGCTGTTTTACAGCCTGTTTGGAGAGACCTGTGAGCAGGCCATTGCAGTAGTCTAACCTACTGGAGACCAATGCATGGATAAGAGTCTCCAAATCTTTTTAGACACTATGTTTTTGATCCTGGCAATGATTTTTAGGTGGTAATAAGCTGCTGATGTTACTGATTTTATGTGGCTATTGAAATTTAAGTCTGAGTCCATTATCACTCCTGGATTTCTGACCTGATTTGACGGTTTTAGGGAGAGAGACTGTAGGTGACAGATGACACTCTCTCTTTGTTTCTGGGGTCCGAAAACAATAATTTAAGTTTTTTCGGTGTTTAGTTGGAGAAAGTTATTTTGCATCCAATCACCGATTTGCTGGATACAGTGAAGGAGCGAGTCCACTGGTCCATGTTCTCCTGCAGTCAGGGACACATAGACCTGAGTATCGTCAGCGTAATTGTGATAAGAGACGTTATTACTGTGAATCAACTGACCTAAAGGCAACACAGTTGCAGTACCCAGGCACAGGCAGTCACCCCGGTTTACAGTTGGCTGGACCAGAAATAAAAACAGATAACCCGGAGGACTGGAGGAGGCTGAACAGATCCATAAAGTGCTTCTTTGTGACCTCGGACTGCTGCAGCTTCATGTCGTTGATCCCCACATGCACGACTACCCTGGAGATGGTATCGGGCAGGGAGTGAAGCAGAGGAGGGAGACGTATGAGCAGGTCTGGTACAGTGGCTCCGGGAAAACACTGAGTGACCGCGTTAAAAAAGCGGACGTGCCTCACGATGGAATCTCCAACAATCAGAGTGGTCGGGGCGAAGAGTGGACGTAGCCGCGGAGAGGGCGCTCGGTGTCCATGGCCAGAACCAACGGCCTCATCCAGGGATGGGTCCGAACCAGGGCGCTGCTGAACACATGGAGAGGAGTGGGGGTGTTGAGGGTCCAGAGCTGACAGATCTCTCCCACACGACAGTGTCACAGTATGCAGCGCTCAGTGACATAAGTCGTGAGTGATGTCCACCAGCGACATCAAAAAGTTTGGACACGAGAAATTGTTTATCCTGCAGCTCTGCAGTGAGGCGAGGAACTTTTTTACGGAGGTCTGCAATAGTGGCACGGTCCCTTTCACGAAACTCCAATGTGAGGCGACTAATGCCGTTCGTGGTTATTGCAGTGTCACTTTCCATGTCTGTGTGGGTTTAAAAAGAAGCTCATGTCGTGGTAGCCTCCGAGCTAGCGCGTTTTGATTGGGTCTTTTTGTTAAAAGGTGTGATGCTCTGGGACCATTGCATTTAAGATAATAAAAACACCAGAATGTATAAGAGACACTCTAATAGACTGTAAAAACATGTTTAAAAGGCTTTAAAAAGGCTTTAAAAGGCTTTAAAAAGGTAAACAGAGCAGAAACCTCAATACGCGTGCTCGTATACAGGATGAATAAAGGATCTCTTAATGTTAACTTAAATAGGACCATTTACGTATTTTTCTTAATTGAAATTGAAATCTATTTTGTTTATTTGTATACTATGTGTTGTTGTTTTATTGTCTCTTTTTTAACTAACACATTTTCATATCACAATGGATGCTTAACAAAATCCAAAATATTATTGGTATGTACATGCATTCTACTGTAGCATTTCAAGATTTTTATTTGTCAAACCAAGTGAATGGTTTGAAATTATATTTCTCTCATCCTGTACACATGTACACATATCCTCTCACCCATGTACAGTATACAAAATATTGGGTTGTACCTACACAGTACAGTGAAAGTCTGCACATTCACTGTATAAAGGAAAATCAGGTATAATCTCTTTTAAACCATTTATCATTCACCATTTATGCATTTCTATGAAGAAACACTTTCAAATAATATATGTTTACAAATTGAAGATAAAAACAATACAAGTCATCACTTGGTCTGCTTATCCACATGGTATGTAGTTCCAGATGGGAGTTCAGATGTGAATCACGGTCCTGTAGTGTTTTTGCTGACCGGAGCGAGAGGTTGCTGGGTCCGGGGTGCAGCACGTCTAATCAAGGATGAGAGCGAGTAGCGACAGAGCAAATGTACCAATTAAGATGGCTGATTGGGCTCAATTCCGCTGTGGCTCAGCAGATTGCAGCCTGACAGCACCAGATGTAATTCATTAATTATACTGATCAAAAATACCCCCACTCCATAAAGCGCCTCTGCTGTTTACTCCGGTTAACTTTTTATGGGTATTCCCAAGGTTTGGTTTGTGTGAGAGAATGTCCTGAAGTCTTGGCTGGTGTTAAGTTTGGAAAATTATGTGGAAAATAAAAGTGGGTTGTTGTATAAAATAGATTTTTTACCAGAACAGCAGCTCTGCCATTCTCATCCTCAGAGAGAGTAAACAGTGAGGAATGAGCCAACACAAAATCTGAGGAAGACTCTGGATGGTAAACACAAAAAAGCGAAGAGTGATTCTCACAGAGATTTACAAGCTTCATTTGTCTATGTTCTGAACGTAAACAGATTTCAGATATGCTGCCATGGTTGACATTATTCACCAGTTTATTCAGATAATCACTGAGTTAAGACCTGCAGTATATACAAGTTTGTTATTCCTTTTTCTTTTGTGAGATTTCCCTTTACTATTCTGTATGTGACAAAACAAGCAAGACGGCCTGATAAGAGGAATACCAGATATCTAAACGTTTTTGTGTCCCATTGCAAGATACTTCAGTTGTTCTACAGCCTGAGTCCTGGATCTATAGCCCGTCCGTCCATGGGAGTAGATCCCACCCGCAATGTGGGCCTCCTCGAGGTTTCTCACGTTTATCCCACTGGGTTTATAGAGTTTTTCCTTGATGATTCAGGAGGGTCCAAGGACAATGGTGATGATCTAGGACACTAGACATTCAACAACATTTATGGACTCCGTCAACGTTTACGTACATTAGTTATCTGCTCCCAGGGACAAATTCCTTCGAGATAACTACTGTTGTGATTTTTTATGCTGTAAAAATATAAATGCAATTGAACTTCATCCACTTTGACTGGTATGAAACTGGTGAGTACGGTAAATGTGAAACTTAGAATATTGTCCAAAAGTTCAGTTATTTCTGCATTTCATGTGTGTGAAACCAATATATGATTTAGGCATTTTGTTCAAGTTAGATGTATCACCTTGTTAACATGTTTTGGCTGTAAAGCTGGTCAGAGGATCTGTGGCTGCAGTAGTATCTTATAACTTAGCACTGACTTTTGGAGCTGCCCATGAGCTGGTGAGGGTGGCCCCTCCTGCAGGAAAACTGACCAAAAAAGTTCCTTCAGATTCCTCTGCGCATGCACCAAATACAGTCCTGCTGTTGTTGTAAGCAACATGTGACCATGTCATTGGAACAAAATGGGAGCCTGTTACAGAGATTGAAGAAATCCACAGTGGATCTGGATTGAAATTCCCTCCCCTCAGCATTGACACATGTACACATGTGTACATTAACATTGGGTCAAGATCAGTGTTTTACACCAGGTTCAACATAGTAAACCAAGATAACAATAGGAGCTGTTTTTGACTCGCCATAGGGTTCCACAATGTATTTCCAATTCTGCATTCAAAATCAAAAGAATCAAGTCAGAATGCAATCCACTCCAGCTGATTTCCTGGTCAATGCACCGGATAAGACAGTTGGAGTGGAAGTTACCTTGTCTGAGAGGTTCTTTAGAGCGTCTCGAAGCCCAGGGGACGAGTGGTCCTGTGCGGCCTGCAGCAGCTGTTCCGACAGCCCTGTGATGAGCGGCTGCAGCAGGCTCATGGAGCTCAGCACCTCCTGCGCCTTGGCTGTGTGCTCTGGTGAGTAGTAGATACACTGGTAGGCAGTGCTGAAGCTGTGGGCAACACGGAAAGAAACATCAGACCCTTTAATCACAGGGTGAAGATTAATGTGAAACACAAACCCAAATCACAAGCACAAACATCCGGCCATGTGTATTTGTTCATGTTGTATTTGAACATGGGGGAAAAACTCCAAGCAGCGATTTATCTCTTTTGTTTATGTGCAAGTGCCAGAACCATGTGCCAAACGGGCAGAACAAGAGGAGTCCGTATTTAACATCAAACAAGCCGCAGTGCAGCCGGAACTGGCTGACCTGGACTGCCCCAGCGCCAAGATCAACACTGGCATAAGCAAACAGAAGAAGCAAACCCAGAAACAGCCGGTAATGAGGATCTACCTCCTCTCATATCATACCAGAGTATTATTACACACAAAAGAATCATCGCAAATTCAAGAATAGCTATAATTGTACGAGGGAAGTTCTGTAGACTTTCCACATCAGCGCTTTTCCTAGAATGTGATTAATTTTATAAACAAAGTGTGGTTTCTGTAAGCAGATAAAACTCAGAATTAACATTTGACCAATATTCTTATTTTCTATTTCTTAAAACTAGTAACTGTGAAACCATTATATGACATAGACTCATTACATGCAAAGAGGCATATATCAAGCCTTTGTTTGTTATATCTTTGATGATTATGGTTTACAGTCCATTTTCACAATTTCCTGAGATGTCTTATTTGTGGTTTTTACAAGCTGTGTGCTTTTGAATTATATTCTCATTTGCTGCATACTACAAGCACAATTTAAAACAGGACATCAACATTCAGTGTCATATTGACCTTGCATTCCAATCCATTTCAAGTATAAATAATAAATGTCCCATTTACTTTTCGCAAGTCATTTAACGCGGAACAGAAATACATTTTTGTCCCACATTAAACGGCCTTTATATCCAGGTCGAATCACTCCAACCTGGTGCTAAAAGTTTTCTGTGACTTTGACAACATTTCCTTGGACTTCCTGCTTGTCATCCATCTCATTTGCAAACTCCTCAGCTCTAGTCTCCTGTCTGCCCTGCGTGCATCCATCTAGGCCATACCCATGGGCCACATCCTGCGCCATAATTGACACAAGAAAGGAGCGCCAAGTAAGGAGCTGTAAATTTGAGCTGGTGTATGTTAAAAGGTTTAAAAAGATCAGGTTTGAGTACGTACCAGGCAGTTGCAGTGTCTTAGGGCCAGCTCAAAGTAAATCCTGGACTTGTCGCTAAGGCTAATGAGTCCCCCAGAGAATGACCACCCATAAGCTCAAAGCTCATCAAAGGCATAGCTAACACACAGCCTAGTGCATTTGTCTCTGGGCAAAACCAGTCTGACCACCACCCTGGTCAGAGGAACCACAAGATACAAGGCAGTAATCTACTACACCAGTCATTATGTTTACAAGCTGAGCATACACGCTCAAGATTTGTCTACATGAAAACAAACCACATGGCAATTTGGCTAAAACAATAGTTGGACATTGGACAGACCTGCCTTTAGTGTTATAGCAGGACGATGCTAATTTTCAACACAGGAGGCTTCCAGGACATGCATGCACACAGGAACCACACATTCCCCACTGTGTGTGCCTACTTCAATTTAGTTTGATTGATAAAGACGCATGTAAACATGTGCCTGCTGATTGAGGTGTGAAAGCCCAGTGTGTTCAGAGGTGCTGGTGCAGCTGTATGTACACATGTCAATTAGATTGGAATGAGACAATGGGCAGATCAACATATAGGTCCTCGCTTGTTTTTTTTGTTGATTTGTTCTGTTACGCACAGTGCTCTTAAGTTATGCAGCAGCAGCTGAGCATGTGTGAAAATCAAGGGCCCAAAGCAGCCGCGGTGCCAGGGATAGGCCTGGGTAGGCCGATGCCTACCAGTTTTTTTCTTGGCCTACTCAAATTTGTTCTTTGGCTCTCAAGTCATTAGCCTCTTGTATTAAAAGTCATAATTTAAATATTGTTATTTTTAAACACACATTATTGCTAATGCCTAAATGTTGCGTTCTAATGTTTTAAGAAAATATAACCTCCTGAACGTCATCATGTTCCTACGTTGCTTCAAATATAGTCCTGTTTATTGGCTGAACAATTTTGTCCAATAATCTGCATGATCATATCACACAGCGCGAAGCTCGTTCCCGAGAACAACCAGCTATTCCTCGTCTTAAAGATTGACAACGCTCTCAAAACATTCACAACAGAGCAGCCTTTTTCATTTTGGTTTTAAGAAAGTTCAGAGTGAACTTTGTGAGGCAGAGTAGCCAGAGGCCCGGGCCCATAGGTCCCAGAGGAGGAGAGCGCGGTCAGGCCTGGCTCGTCTCGCACTGATGAGGTAAACTCTAGGCCTGTGTGAGACACAGGGCCTCATGTATGAAACCTGCGTACGGCCAAATCAGGGTGTAAATGAGGCGTACGCAAAAAATTACACTTTTCCGCATTTATCTATCTGGACGTGAGCGTACAATACGCAAAAAATATACGCCAGGTCTGGAGATGGTGTAAATCTACGCTGATCTCAACCTTCGGCACAACACGCCAAAACACGCATGAAATTCAAGATATGGACAACAATAAACATATTCCCTCTGGCAAAATTATAAGCTGTGTTTTCATTGAGCATCATGTTTCAAAATTTGAATTTGCGCATCAGAGAAAGTCTAATGGAAACACGCAAACTTCGAATAAATCACAGATCATGATGAGGACCCTCTATTAAATCTGACTTGTGACTGTAGTATTTTGATCTGTATGTTTTTAAATGTAAATGCAAATTTGTTCAAAAAGCAGCTGAATATATAGCGTATATTTATTTTTACATAAACATGAACAAACACGCGATTGCTGCATAATTTTAGGCGTGACTTTCATAAATACGTTTTATCAACACCAGCAGGTGCGTACGCTCAGATCTGGTGGATCTCACAAGTTCATAAATCCGACGTTGGATTTTGTGTAAATGGAATATACACCCAAAATGTACCTTTTTCTACGCAAGTTTCATACATGAGCTTGTGTGTATGTGTGTGCTTGAGTGCGTGTGCGTGCGTGCGTTTGAACCATATTCTTTGAAACCCCAATTCCAGCTACCCCTTGTAGTTTGCAAGCGAATTTGGCCTATACTTACTAATCTTCAGGCCTACCCAAAATTGCAAACCTGGCGCCGCTACTGGCCCAAAGTAAATATGAAGTGTTTGAATGTATGAATTTGAAGTGTTTGCTTATAATTGCTCCTCAAATAATAATCATACATATATTGCTTACAATACATGTATGATAGCAATCTTATTCACAATTACAGTTATAAAATTTGAGTATTACAGGAAATTTAAAGTCAAAGCGACTTCTCAGTGACGCACATGGAGGCGTGACAAAAACTTCAGTCAGACCGGTTTGATAATCCCATTGAAGTGAGTGCGGTTTTTGAGTGTACACTGACTCTACTGTGTTGAGTCTGCGAGAGCTTTGACATCTGACAGCCAGAGCAGAAGACAGCCGTAGCACATTAATAATTAGTTCAGTGAGTGAAAACTTACAAAATGTTAAAAAGTAAAAAGCTTGTGTTTTTTGATTGACGTCATAAGGGGTCACCTCAATGGTTTCTGGCCAAATACCTTGATTACTTGGATGCACAGGAATATGACTGGCTTCACCTACAACCCCTTTAAGATGTGGGTGAAATTTTCAAACATGAAGCGAAGAAATAAAAGAGCAACTGTGGTTATTCTTGTATACTGTTAATGTGTGACTTCTCAAGAATTTCATTTGTTTTTTGTTCAGTCTTTTTCTTCCAAGGCTTGTGAGTGTGAGCAACAGTTATCTCGAGGGACACAACAACACTGTTAAATAAAATGAGAACATCTACGTGACGAAAATAGTTGAACTAAAATGGATATCACATGTTAACTGAATGCACAGTGCATTTCTGAAGAACAAATTTAAAGCTGGAGAATCTAATTTTCAAACCATGAATATAACAAAGTGATAAAACTAACCTGGCAAAAGCCAGATTGATGATTGTGTAGAACTCTAACGCGTTCTCCGTGTTTGTGAACTCACAAATACCGCGAGAATTCAGCTTGCAGGCAAGGTTATGATAAAACCATCATACCTGGAACTCTCCACGGCGCTAAGAACAGCACCATCAGAGTCTACTTTTTTATACTATTCTAATTTTTTTTAGTTCTGGACCTGTGTGTGTGTGTGTGTGTGTGTGTGTGTGTGCGTGTGTGTGTGTGTCTGTGTGTCATCTAGTCCTTCCAACAAGTTGTTCTACACTGTTTTCGGTTGTGTTTTTCTACCACTAGAGGCAGGACCACAGCCCGTGACCATTCTGAGGAAGACTGCGTGCCAGCAGACGATACTGTCAGGTAGGAAAATTAACTCTAGTCTTAAAAAACGAATGAACTTATAGAATCTATCAGAAGATCATGAACACTGTAGGACAAAAGTTTGTTTCTAGTTTTTCACATGGATGTATATTTGGCCTCTGTCACTTTAGATAGAGGCCACATCACATAGATTTTTCAGACAGAAAAGTGCTCTGCCGAACAGGGGACTACTGATGAAAAATAGCCTTCTTGGCTAATTCTGGCTGTTTTTTACTCATGTTTAATCATGCGTTTGATTAAATTGCATGGTCCCCTTTGAAATAAACTAAATTGAAACTCAAAATGTAACAGCTCTCAGCCAATAAAGTAAACTTATGATTCCCAATTCAATTCAATTAAATTTATTCTTGTACAGCCAAAATAACAGTAGTTATCTCGAAGGACTTTACAAAACCGTTGAATTCACAAACACAGAGCAGAGATTCGAACAGCTCAAATACAAGCAATGAAATGATAAAAAATACATAGAGCCATTGGTTCATAACCAGTGATGGGAATAACGGCGTTGAAATAAACAGCATTACTAACGCCATTACTTTTTTCAGTAACGAGTAATCTAATTACTTTGACTGTGCGTATAACGCCGTTATCATTGCCGACACCCCGTTACTG